GTCTTCTTCTATCACTCTCTGTCTTGCTGCCTAGTGCCAGGGTCTCTCATTGAATTAGGAGTTCATCATGTTGGCTACATCAGTCGGCCAGTGAGCTCCCAGGATCTTCCTGTCTGTAACTCCCCATGTTGGGGCTACAGTTATGAGTAACTGTTCCTGCTGTTTTAAAGGTGTGCTAGGAATGTGAACTCAGGTCTTCTTGCTTATCAAGTAAGCACTCTTACCTATAGAGCCATCTTATAAGCCAATTTATTATTTTGTACATTGACATTCAAAAGCATCTCTTCCCTGATTGAGACAAACACCTGCGAAGCTGAGCAATTGGTATCAACTATTTCAGTAGCTTCCAATGCTGCACAAAATGCTGAAATCTTCCTGGAGTAAGGGTAGCACTGTGTACCTATCTATTTTTCTGTTTTCTTTTTTCCCCCAAGAAATGTTTACTGTAACCAAAATACTTTCTGGGAGGCAGAAGATATTTTCCCCTATGGCTACAGACAGTTAGCAATATGATGGCCAGAGCAGAGGACTTGTCATCAGGAGCCAAACTGGAGCCTTGTTTTTCAATAGTAAGCTATACTGCTTAGGACTGTCACTAATCTCTGCAAACTCCTTGGTGTTCTTATATGGATGTGGGCACCTAAGACACGTCAGAAGCTACTTTATAATTGGGGAACATGCATAGGTCCTATATGTGAATGTCTACATATCCCCAAATTCATGTGCCAAGACCCTTATTCCAAAGTGATTGGGCAGTGACAGGGTCACAAGGAAGGAGTCCTCATGATTGAGATTCTTACCTCTGCAAAAGCAGCTTGAGAAATCTCTCTTGCCTTTCTAGTACATATGGACACCATTAGGAGAGACCATCCATGATTCAGAAAGCAGGCCTTTGTCAGACCCCTAACCTGCTGGTGCCTTGATCTTAGTTAGGTTTCCTAGCCTCCTGGATTGAGTCTACCAAATGTCTACTATTTATAAACCACAGGGCAGATGGTACCTCATACAGCCCCAAAGGTAAGACTCAGAATGCATTGGAAACATTGCCTAACATCATTCATAGTTCTATTTCTAGGAACATGTTAATATACCGACTAGTTCTATTACACTAAAAAAACAAACAAAGAAAAAACAGGAAGACATTTCTGTTGGCATAGCCATTCATTTATGACAATTGTCTAAATGGTCTTCCTTTTTATTTTTCCTTCTCTAACTAATACAGTAGTTTACCTAAGCTCTATGCTTGGCTTCTTCTTACCGGATCTCCAGAGGGATTTTTATCTGTAGAGCTCTCTACAGTCCTTAACCTCCTGCACTACAACATCAACCATCATGGCTCTCTCTCCTTATGTTTGACCGAAGGAACTGGATGGCAATTAACGAGTACATAGACCTCTTCCTGAGCAATCTTCTGTCCCACCAGACCTCCATCCCTCTGCTTTATTCATCCTGGAATACTTTTCTCTTTGAACCTATGTCAGACTCAGTCTCATTCTCAGCACTATGGACAGCTACTGCCTATCCGCTCTGTGCTGTCTTCTGAAATCTATCGGTTGTGCTCGGCCTACTTCCTTATCTAGACAATAACTATGCATTTACTGGCATTGTTTTGCCTGTTCTTAATGTGCAAATGTGTCCTGTCACCCACAGGGTAACCAGAGGCTTCTTCATATCCAGATTCTAACAGTTTCTACAAATAGCAGCTTCCTGAAAGACAAGCAGCTTACAGAAAATAAAGGAACTTTCCCCTTGCCCAGTGGGGAAAACTTACCGATTGTGCCCAGAGTTCATTATTTATCTTTTGCTGCTCTGGCTAATACTTATGATTCCCTTTGTTGCTGAGGCTTACCAGAATGTTTCAAAGTAGCTCTGAGTGAGGGTTAAATGGTTGTTAATTGTGAGCTCATGGCTCACACTCATCTAAGAGTCAATGAACAATCTACACCTCCACTACCTTTACATTCTGAATGCAGGACTATGAACCTGTTGTGACTCTTCAATTTGAGTCTTTCTATTTTTCCCCGTTAATCTCTGCCCTCTATCCACATTAGAACGGGATGCTTCCTCACAAGCTTAATGATGGTGGCGTTGCAGGCTGCCAGTTTAAGCCATCCTCCCCCTATAAATCACTTCCTGAGACTCTTATTAGCACCTCCTCATTCGCTCTTTCATAAAGAAAACCAATTCACACTTCATTAGCATTTGGAAACTGAAAATTTCACAATATTTTCTTATGAAAACACCTTTTTAAAAAGTTCTAAATGCTGGAGGAAAAAACAATAGCAAAACTACTTAGAAGGTATCAAGGGAGACATGCAGGCTTATGGGGAAAAGTTTCCAGTACTGGCATGTACATAATAAACCCAGCCCACCCCCTTTACCCCAGGGTTCCCTCCTGGTTATGTCCTTGCATTTTATTTGAAATATCCTTATATAAATCACACCCACATGAAATCTCATTGCATTCAGTGTATGTTATGTGATGATTGACTAAAATAATTCCCAGAGGGACCAAAAGCATGTGATATTATGACAGGAGCTAGATGCCCAAGGGAGGTGATGTGAGGAGGAATTGAACTGATTAAGTTGACCAGTCTCACTCAGGAGGAAATGATCCCTGACAAGGGATCTGGGGAAGACTTGGAAGTTTAACATGTAATTAAGGATGGAGGACATTGAAGCTGAGCTGCTGTCTTATGTTCTGGATGACTTATAAAGAGAAAAAGAGTGAGGAAATGTGTATTTACTGAGTGTGAAAATTCTCCAGCCCCGTGCTAATTAAACACTAAGTAAATTCCACGTGTGTTTTGTAGTTCTGTTGTTGCTATCATCATCATCATCATCATCATCATCATCATCATCATTATTGCTATTTGGGATCATGGAGGAGGGTTTACAGTACAAGTCTGACCCTCTACCAAACCTCATTTCCAGTGGATTCAGGATTATAAGAGTGGGATTAGATGGGTGGGCCATCTCTCTTTTGAATTTCAAACGCTTTATGTTAGTCCTGATACCATTTCCTAAGGTACTTAGAGCCATACATTCCTAGGCCCTGGAGTATCCATCCCACTCACATTCTAATTATCATCTGTTTCCACCTAAATGGCAGCTTGGAAGAAATCCTGTAGTACCTGGTTTTAATTGTTGGCAAAGACATATCATTTATCCTGCATTGAGCTGTTAGATTTTACGGGGGAGATTTCACTAGCCCACACAAAGGATTCTCCATGGGTAGAACTTGCCACCTCCATGCAAAGCCTCTCACGGTACTTCTATCATGACACAAAGAAAGCTTCCAGCAATTTTGACTAATTTCAGGATTAGATAAAAAGCAGCATGGTGGGGCAAGGCGTTTGCAAACCCCAGAGTCACCTCTTGCTCTCTGTGTGACTTTTAGAGACAGGCTTACTTACTTACTTCATTATCTGTCAGTGAAGGAAGTTAATGCACAAAGAATCATAAGACTTAAATAATTTGATGTTTCACCTTAGTATAAAACATGTTTCCCTAGGAATCTCTAAGTCTGTAAAAACCACACTCTGGAACGTAGCAGGGCCTGTATGATGGGCACATGGCATCATCTATAGGCTCAGGGCCTTTTGCCTTCCTGCTACAGATTTCAATTCCTCTGCCATTCTTATGATCTCTTTCCTAGGAAAATCTGTATGAATGAATATAGCTAATATTGACAGAGAACACATTCACTATGGGCCAGCTATATATGAGCTCACTGACGGTATCAAAACAAATGCTGCAGAACAGATTGTGTGTAAAATGACTCAAAGGAAAATTATATATACATAATTTTTATATATATTATTTCCTTTTCTATTTGCTTAATATTTTTTTGGAAAGCTACTATAAACCAAATTCCAGTCCCCAAACCCCCCAAGTCTTTCTTCTTTTGAGACATCCAAACAGAAATATGTGTTAGCCCGAAAAAAAAAAAAAAAAAGAGTGTATATGCAGGGTTTGGTTTTTGTCACATAGTATTAATCATGTATAATATGCATAATCTTTCACGAGGAGAATAGCACTGTGTCCATCAATGTGAATGGTTCTGGATCGTGCATGCAGTGCTTGCTAAGGTCCTACTATCCAGGTAGAATGTTTTCAGAAGATCTCAGGAATCCTGAGGGAAAGGCCAGGTGATTTTTTGGTGTAAGGGTACAGGGTTCTGAGGGTAAAATATGAAGTATTTTGATATTTTCAAAAGTGGTGTGGTCTTAGTTACATCTCTATTTTTATGTCAGGTGAATTTCAATTCAACACTCCTAAACCATGGAACCCTAGTTGCCACCTGTCTGGCTCAGGGGTCATGCAGGTAGAGATTCTTTACCTTCCAGGAGCATCCCCCTTCTCATCGAACCACACTTCCTCTCCAGACACGCCAACAAAGGAGGATTTGATGAGGAAATCCAGGAGCTTCCTGCCATCAATGGGCTTCATGGCATCACAGAGGCCCACATGGCCAGGACACAGAGCATGGTGCATGTTCTGAAGCCCGTGCGCCATGGCGTAGATGGCATTGATGACAAACCCCATTTTACTGTCCTGGACGTAGTTTTCTTCTAAGCTTTCATTGCCTGTAACAATAAAAACAGAACACTGCCAAGGTCACAAGCATGAATCTTATCAGGGCTATACACTCAATGCTCAGTGCAAATCGGGGATACATACCCAAAGCTCAATGCAAATCAGGGCTACACACTCATTGTTCAGTGCAAATCGGGGCTACACACCCAATGCTCGGTACAGTTCAGGGCTTCAGACACTGAAAAGGATCATGCCATTGGCAAAAGCAGAGTCCACTTTGTACTTATAACCAACTGTACTATATTCTGCCTGAAAACAGCATTTCCCTTTTCCCCTTCTTTATTCAGTAAATATTTTATGAGTTATAAAGCAAACAGTATTGAGGTGAAAACAGAAGAATTTTCATATAAGTAAATCATCAAGGAGCAGTGGAAAGAATTCTTTTCCCTTTTGTTTTGCAGGTACTCACATGCAAACCTCCCTATCTCGTGGCACAGGAAAAGGATTTTTGCATCTGTTATGATGATCTATAATTCATGGTAATTCAGTTTGTACAATGTCAAGTCTCTGATGGTTTGTTTCTGTGACTCCCCCTTTATTGTCATCTCTAGCGACATAAAAGAAGAATTACGTTGAAAACACATTTGTCAATCAGCAGACACTTTGCTAAAGTATTTCATGGCAGAGAAGTCATACTCTACATTAAATTTAGCCCTGTTTACTTGTGAATCACAGGCTTTGTTACTTGTGAATTTTGAAAGCCCTGCAAACCTTTCTACCCCTGTTACAGGTGAATAAAACTTCCCCAGCTTCCAGCTAGTTTTATATCATTGTAGCGTTAGAGCTGAGCTCCATGTTGGAAATCTCCTTTTAGGACACAGATATGCATGAGAAATTTAGAGACCATTTGGGCTTTGTGAAATAAAAGTAACACTTTAGAAAACAAAATAGACTCTGACTATCTCACCACCATACTTTAGTGACCTTGGACTTGGTTTTTCACATTCACACTAAGAGCTAGCTGAAGGTATATAGAAAGTCTAGATTAGAACCTCCAGAAGGAACAGTAAGGAATGTTGACTTTGATGTTGAACTTGGAATAAAAATAGAAATTCCTAGACTTCTATTTAAGGAATGGTCTATTTAGATGAAGTTGAAAATTGAGACAGATATTTGTTTATCAACCCTGAGGGTGAGGTGCAAATGATGGAGTCAGCTCAAATCCCTCTTCCAAATGCTTGAGAGGTCCATGTTAGGAGTGGACTTTGTTTAAGCACTATTTGCCAGACTGAAAGAAAATGTTCCGAGAGTAAGAAAGGTCAAGGGGGCATTTGAAAAATCAAACCACACAGAATGAGTGCACAGCATTGGATTAGGCAGAAAGTACAGATACTCCTTGCAAAAGTTGTCAGGTCTTTGAAATAAGGTGACTGGGGTCTGTTGGTATCCCCAGTAAAACCTGTCTTAACCCAGTGGTTGTCTAGTGGTACTTCATTCATAGCACCAAGGCAGACTCTATCCCTGATGTCTGTGAAATTGGTGCTGTCCTTTTGATTCTTATTTAGGGCGATCGGATAACTTATCCAAAATGAGTCATTTCTTTTCAGGATGAAAGTGAGTGGGAATCATAATTGTTCCAGAATGCAAGTGTGAAGAAGGCAGGCTGGGGCAACTGATACATGTTTTGGAGGCTGTGATCATATCTAATGATCACAATATGGATATGATTTATGTATATGCATAGGTAAATATAAACGCATGCAAGTATACTATACAGTCAGTAGAATATTTTCATTAGTTTTGATTAATTTTGTATTTATTTAATTTTAATGACAGGTATATAATAATATAACAGCTACTGGTTTTGAGTGTATGTTATAATAGCACTCAGTAAATGAAATCTTCCAGATAGACATTAACCTTCCCACTTTATAGGTGAGGAAAGAGTAGGGTATGATATGGATCCAAATGCCTTTCTTCTTTCAGTTATGCTCAGTGGCTACATGGGGCAGATACGGAAGTTTATGCAGGAGGCAGAGGACAGGCCATTGTGCTATGTACCAAAATCTTTGCAAGCCCAATTTAGTGTGTCTCCCTTAGATTATTCCAGATGTGCAGAGATGCCCTACTAGTGAGAAGTCCTGGCACTCAATCCACCAGCAGCATACTATGACAGAGAAGCCCAACCTGCCAGTATTTGTCATAAAGAGACCTAGAAACCTTGACAATGTTTCTAAGCAATGTTTGCAAGGTAAATCATTCATGTTCTGCCAAATAAACCTAACAGCACACAGGTCTCCCTGTCATCCTAGTCCACTGGCTCTGCATGTGAAAGGGGCAGCTACAGTCAATGAGAACTCTCTCTTCAGCTACTAGCCCAGGCTCAACCCTATTGGCTCCACTATAGGGAGCTAATATTTGGCCTATACAAGAAAGGACATTTGCTTTGTCACAACTGCTCCAGATTAGATCATATTGCAGAGATTTATCATGTCTGTCTATCCATCTAGCTATCTCCCTATCTCATTATCTCTCTATCTCATTATCTATCTATCTATCTATCTACCATCTATCTATCATCTATCTCTATATCTCTCTCTATCATCTACCTACCTACCTACCTACCTACCTATCTATCTATCTATCTATCTATCTATCTATCTATCTATCTATCTACTTATCTAAGTAACTATGTGTTCTATGTAGAATGTGTTTATTTGTTTGTTTGTTTTCCAAGTACTCCAAAGATCATATATTTTCAGGAATAGTGAATTAAGAATTGAAAACTAACAACATAATCATTTGGTGGGAAGGTAAAAGCATTTATTTTCCTTCCCTGGGATTTACTGCCTTTTCATAACACTAGTCTCAGGTTATTTGTGAGAAGGGGATTTCATGTTTCCTTTTCTGTGGTGCATTAATTGTTATAGACTACCAGGAGGTCATTAAACCACCACCTTTTAGAATACACTAAATAGAGTCAAATAATTGAGGTTGCCGGTGTTTTTATTTACCTTCAAAAGAACACCTGCCTGCCGGCTTCAAGGAGGATTGTGAAAATAACTACCTTAGTTCTAAATAGTAATCTTGTTCTTGTTGCAGGCACACGACAAACACTATAAATTGCTCCTAGAGTCAGTGGCACACAGGCCTCCATGGGCTTGGGAATCTGCATTGAACATTCTGAAATCGGGGCACTCTGGTGCTTAGGCAAAGGACCAGCAGTTCATCATTGATATTCAATTGTCATTGACAGCAGTCATTGATATTCAGGTCGGCTATCCAGCACAATGGTGTAATGACAGGAACTCTGGACTAGGCACCTGCACAGTTGGATGTAGAGGCAGCCCTGCCACTTCCCAGAAACAACCCACTTCCAATAAGTCATGGAACTTGGCCTCCATTTCCTAACCTTAAAATAGCACCCTTGAGGTAGATAATCTCGCTGAAGTTCTGACCCCTTTAGTCCCCCCACACTGCTGCTCTAGCTCCAATGACTGGTCACTGCGGTTGGTACAGATAGTCACCTATGTTATCTTTTTCACCTCTTACAGGAGAAGACAGACACTCAGGGAAAGTCAGGCTGGGCTGGGATGAGTGGCCTTCCTCTACCTTGTGTTCTTTCGCCTCCCACTCAGGGCAGAGTGAGGAAAGGGGCCTGCTGTTTCTCTTTAGTTGGGACTGGTTCTCTGGCCTGTGGAGGTTGTAAATCTGTGGGCTGTGTTTTTCAAGTGGCACTGGCGACTGGACAGATTAGCCTGTCCAGTTCTAGGGTCAATGTCTAAAAGTCATTTGTGGGTGGGTGCCCAACCAACACAGGTCCCCATTAACTTAGTTTTTTTTCTGTCAGTTTTTCTCAACTTTTTCAAAACTTTTAGCTGCACATGATAGTGTACACCATAATCCTAGCGCTCGGGAGGCTGACACAGGACTACTGAGTATTCAAGGCTCAGCTGGGCTTGTAGTAAATTCCAGGCCAGATTGGGGTTTATCATGAAACCCTGACTCAAATAAAACAAAACTCAAAACTTTCTCATTGGGAATGGACTCATCTACAGTAAAATGCAGAAGTGTTTACTATGCAGGTAAATGAATTTTCACATATGTACAAATCTATGTACCTGTTATAAGATATCAGCACAAGGTATTTTCAGAAGACATAAGCTTACTTAGGACCTCCCTCATGTATACCACCCATGTTTCATCCCTCTGATGGTGGAGCTCCCAAGTATTTGACTTTCTGGTTCCACTCCAATTGGCAAACTTTTAAATTTTTAAAGTTCTGTTTTCTGTTAGTCTGCAAATATACTATTAGTATTTGAATAGCAGTCCTGGTACCTGGAACCTTGACAAATTTCACTTACTTGTTTATCACTGTTTGTCTTTGAGACAGGGTCTTGATTTTGAACAAATGATCCTGACTGGCTTCTCCAGCACTGGGATTATGGGCACAGATCAACATGATTGGCTGAATTTACTTATTAATTCTAATTTTACAAAGTTTTTCAATTATTCTGTACACTGACATTGTTTCTAAAACGGATGTTTAATCAGCCTGTTTCAGACCTACTTGTTTGGAAGCAGATTTAGGAAGGAAGTCCATTGGTGAGCCCTCTAAGATCCCAGTTCTGATATGTTCAATAACCCATAACTAGCAAGACAGAAATAAAGTACATGTGAAGCTCTTTCCTGCCAAATAGAACTGTGCATGCATGCAGCAGCCCTGTCTAGTAACTGGCTAAACCACATTACAAACAGTATGATATTTATAGCAAAGAAAAAACACTTTAATGTGTATTTATTCTGCATTTTTAAATAATACTGACCTATTTTAAGTGTCCTAAGTTGCAAAATATAAACAATATATGGAAATACTACTTCCAGTAAAAGCAATTTTGTTGTGCCTGGACTTTCCATTTTATTAATTCGTTCCCACCAGGATGCCTGTAAGACTAGTAGCATGGATTCTTTCAAATCTAGGTCCTTGGCACTAACTTCAAATTAAGAAGGCGAATACAAAAAGCAACATTTTACTTTCTCATAAAATAGGGAGAATTCTCGGAACTATTACTAAATACGTGTCTCCCTGGGGGGAGAATTCTTTCAGTGTCTTGGCATTTGTCTCTCCACTACTTCATTTTCTTTGACAGTGTTATATGTTCAATAAACAATTTGATACAGTGTCATTCAGAGTGAAATAGAAAGGCCCATGATTATTTTCTATTTGTTAACAATTCAAGTGACGAAGATGACATTCAGGTCCCTTTGCATTGCCAAGGAGTAGATTTATTGAAGGAAGATTAATCAGGCCATTTAAAAAATACCAACTTCCAAGTATACAGTGCCCCCAATTTGGCTTAAAGGCTCAGGCTGCTAAATTCTCTATATACCTTTCCCCCAAGAGAATTTATGATAAGAGTCAGAATAGCCTAGTCTTACACATGTTCAAGTCTAGGAGCGGTGAATGCTTTGTTTCCCCTGACACTACATTTTTTCTCATCCCACAAGGATTCTCTCTGCTAATATCACAGAAAAATATGACTTCCCCTTATTTTCTATTCCTTGTATTAAAATGTAAAAATGAACTCCTATGTGGGACTGGAGAGAAGAAAAGGAAGATTCTTTAGTCAAGTCTATGCTATACTGTGATTTTTAGTTGACTTCCTATTGTTAAATCCCACCTATTCTCCACATGGGAACAACCAGACACCTTTCTAAGTACATCCTCGCAATCTGTTGTTAAGGCATGCAAATATCAGGCCTCTCACAGGTTGACGATAATGTATGGTAAGTCTCAGTTCCCTGACAACACTACTGCATTTAGTTAATTCATATTTCAAAAAATTACGGTGCGTGTGAATAACAGGTAAGGACAATTGCGGGTGTGTTTAAGTATCTTGAGGATCAGCTAAAGTATTCAGCTGAACTGTGGGACTCCATGTCTCTCTAAAGAGAGAAAACAGGGCAGCTTGCTGTGCCTTTGCTTTTATTATTGATAGGGCAGAGGAGGGCATCATAGAGTTGCAAACCACACCCCCTGGAGTAAAATCTTTGCAGATTTGCAGAAAGTACTTGGCAGCTCTTTGTAGAGATGGAGTGTATTACAGAGAGCTGGCAGCTTTTCTTGAGTGTGGGAAGTCTGTCTGTTGTTAAAACACACCAGGAACCAGCTCCTTCATCCACAACCTGCTGCTCTGTTCCTCTCTTGGTCTCTCCTATGTGCCAAGGAAGCAGGTCTATGCATGTAGCACCACCCTATTTCTTTACAGGTGGTAATAGGAAGAATGCTGTCTTCTAGGCATTGGGGAGTCCACGGATTAATGCTCTGACCTTCTTCTTTGATATTCTATCAGCAGGTTGTTCTTTTTGAGACGCCCTACTTTAATACTGCAGTGACATAGATTGAGCGACTTAAACAGTGTGACTTAAACAGAGAGAGTGGCTTTGGCTGAAATTTAAGCCCTGCGGGTGAAAACTCTACTTATGTGGGTGAAAAGTCTAACTTCTGACTGCTTTCCTCATGGTTTAACAGAACAGCTCTGGTAACTAACATAGGGTCATGTTTATTATAAAAATGCAGGCATCAATTCTATATGACATTGGCATTCTAAATTCAGCTTGGTGATGGGCTTTTGACCAGTACAACACAGTATTTATAAACTGACCAATCCATATACATAAAAATATAATTTGGGACTTATTAACACATTTCATACTCTTTAGAGTTTTATTCCTGTAATTTGTAAGTCAGATGGGTTAGCTGGGAGCACAGAAGTCTGCCATTTACTGGAGACTTTAGTATTTAAACACAGGACACATGGTTTATTATATGCCTGTAACATCTTGGAGTAAGTTATACTGTGACTTTTCAATTCAGATTGATTGCTACAGGAGATTATTTGTTGATACTTTACATTAATATTGTTATGGATTTATCAGTCTAGGTAAACGATGACACCACCTTGTCCCTGTGTCACAACTCTTGGGATTTCTTGAAAGCCATGGTCATGTTCCCTTTTCTGTGATGTCTCCTAACAGCATCTCTTGAACAAATCAAATTTGGAATTCCCAAGGGCCTAATAAAAACTCATTGCTAGTAAGATTTAGTCAATAACTGTCACAGAAATTAATAAAGTAGCATCTAAAATCAATATTGTCAAGAGCACATGGACAAAGAGCTCTTAGCCAGAAACTATCAATAAAACACATGCAGGGTCTAGACTTCATGCAAATCCATTTGGATATGCCAACCACTCAGCTCAGGCTGTGAGGAGAATATTTACAGAAACAAGAAAGCTAAATATAATTCTATACTAAGAAGAATCACCTTGAGAGGTCATGAGGCTGATCCAAATCTGCTCAAATTATACTCAGAAAAGGAATGTAAGCATTATTTTACTCTAGTAGAAGGAAATTGCTTCTCATGGGACATGCGGTAACAAATCTGAAATTGCTGTCAATGCATATAACAAGGTTAAACAAATAAATCAATCAATGGCAGATGGTATAAGTAGGGTGTATCACTGGTGGAATCAGAGGCTATAGAAAATCAAACAATATAGTTAGAATAAACTATGCAATATGAGAATAGACCTGGAGACATCGGCATGAATTTAATAAAAGCTTATGAATTTGTATAGAAATGTCTACATGTGGTTTTAAATACTTCAACATTTTTAAGTTTATGTACCTGTGTGTTTCTATGTCTGTGTATGTGTGCATACTTGTATGTAGTTGCCTGCAGGAGTCGGAAGAGGGTGCCAGTCCCTGAAACTGAGGATGCAGTTGATTGTAGGCTAGGAACTGGAGCCTGGTTCTCTGCAAGAGCAGCAGCAAGCACTCTTAATCACTGAGCCCTATATTTGGCTTCATATATACATACATATATAAAAATGTGTATATATATGTATGTATATATATGTATATATACATACATATATAAAAATGTGTATTTATATATGTATGTATATATGTATATATACACACACACACACACACACACACACACACACACACACACATTGCAGTAATGCACACTAAAGAAAAAGCACCGTCAAAGCTTTAAACACATCCAGTACTCAGATCTTGGCTTCTAATATCATACACATGCACACACACAACACGCACGTACACACACACATGCACACACACACGTACACACATACACTCTTTGGAAGAGATAACCAATTGATGATTTAGAGGTGGGACTGGGGAGATGGCTCAGTGGTTAAGATCACTGGCTATTTTTCCAGAGGACCTTGGACTACAAGCATTCACATAGTGACTCACAATCACCTGTAACTCCAGCTTTATGACATCTGACACTCTCTTCTCTCTTCCATGGGCATCAGGCATACATATGGAACATAGACACATGTACAGACAAAACACAAACACAAATACGTGTGAAATAAAACAAAAATAAACCTTCAAATACTTTTTAAAAGAGATGTATGAAAGAGTCAGAAAATACATAGAGTGAGCCTGGGGAGTTTGTATTCTCGAAAAGTGAAAAATTCCCCAAAACTATACAATGAAGTCAAGTAAAAGACTTCCAGTGGCCAAAGCCAAAGCAATCTGAACAACAAAATCAACAATTTAGTATGGGAATATGATCCAAGATATAAAATAACTGGTCATACTGATATAAATAAAGTATAAGTGGGGAGAAATAAAGGTTAGTGGAGGAGAAAATACAACTCTTCCATACAAAATAATTGCAAATAATGTGAATAGCCACTTTGCCTTTAGCAAGGTACAATGTGACTCTCCACTCTTTGGTGTGGCATGCAGCTAGTGACCTGCTTCCAAAGGTTTCAGCATAAGAAAGGCTATCAAGTTAAGAAGGTTCACAGTAGAAAGGCTTGGTAATCACAACCTTACCTATGTGATCAATGCTAACCCAGTGTGCACCAGACTCGTGGGCAGGTCACAGAGTGATATATGACCTGCCAGACATGTATTAGCTAAGCCCAAATCTAAAGACATTCTATAAAATACCCAAAATACTCCTAAAAACCGTCAAAGTCATTATACAAAAGGACATTTGAGGACTGTCACAGCCTAAGGGAACTCAAAAAGACAGGGGGAAAAGAGATGGGGTATGATATCCTGAATAGAAATCTGAGGTGGGGGAGGGGGGAAGAAAGGAAATGTTGGCAAAATCCAAGGTTTGAAGTTTAATTAATAATAACATATCAATGTTGATTCATAACTGGCGAATGTCAGGCTGGAATGTAAGACATCAACAACAGGGAAAGCTGAGTGCTTCATGAGCTTATCACATTTTCCTTGCAGCTTTTCTTTAAAGAAATTTGAAAAAATACCTGTTTTCTTAAGTGCCTGAGAATTAGCATCATATCTCAGTCTAGTATCGGGTAGTAAGAGATAGCAGTCTGAAATGCTCTGTGGCCGGGACTTGAGTGGTTTAAACATATTATCTAATGTACCACCTCACAAGGACGAATGGAGTGAATGACACTGGCCTATCCAGCCCTTCTCCCAGTCCTTACCCCACAACCCCTGTTAGCTTTTCCTTCCAGCCCCTCTCTCCATTCCATTGTGACTCCTGCCAAACCCACAGAACCACTCTCTACCAGGGACCCCCAGTGGCCACACTGGGCTGGGATTCAGGCAGGTGACTTTTAGTTAAGTCTTTCCTGTCCTCCACCCCAGGTCTCACCAGACGCCTTAGTCTGGCTGAAGCCCTGCCCACAGAAGCCCCTTCTCTCAACCCATCTCCACCCCGTAGGGACTCAGCCTCTCGGTGTAGACCCAGAGTTCCTCTAATTCTTTCCTGCTGCCCCGTCATTCTTTCCTTCTAACCTGTCTACGTTCCTTTTTGACACCAGGTGACCCACATGAGCACTCTCTACCAGGGACCCAGAGTGTGCAACATCAACCAAAGAAGGGAACCCGACTCAATAAAGAGGAGACCAGATATCTGTGTGAAGAAATACTTCAAATAGGACAAACCTGGATGCCTGGATCCAACGGCAAAAGCACGAATATGAACAACCAAGACAAAATGCCTTCCCCAGGAGTCATCAACCCTAATGCCATAGGCCCTGAGAAAAGCAATGTGGCTGATGCACAAGACAGGGAATGGGTGGTATTCCCCTCCTGTGATTAATGATGAAAATCAGAGGTCATGTGGGTCAAGTAACTTTTCCCAGGTCACACACCTCGATAGTAGTAGTTGCTACATTAACACCTGGCATGTCTGACTTTAGAACAGTCCATTCTAAGTAAGCACCATGTTCCTCTGTCTCCTGCCTAGTTGCAGCCACAGAGTGACATTATACTCGGCAGTATGTAAAAAGACATGACATCTGTCACCATTGTGATAAACAAGTGGTTTGTATACAAAATAAAATTTGTCCTATGTTTTAGACCATCTGAAATTTCAGAGACCTATACATTTTATCCTAAGATGAGATTGTTATGATTTTCTTCAGATAAATGATATGTCTGTACAGATGGGACTATTTTCATGGCTCTGGACTATGGATACTATTCATTGCTATGTAACGTTAAGGTTAACTTTACATAACAAGAATGATTTGAAAAGAGATTCACCATGAAGAATTGGTGTTCTTGATTCTATGAAACTGGGACTAACCTAGCCACAAGATAAATTATAAACTCATTTCCCAAGGCTTGATGGGAGCTCTCAGATGTTGCCATGTGTATCCCTTCTAAACATAGGTGTCCATGAACCTGAAAAGCTCACAGACACCTCTGTTCTAGAAACACATACCACAGAAGGCTAAATTAACAATCAGATTAATCAAGTGTTCTTTAGGCATTGATACAACCAGGCTGTTAATATTAATTTGGGGGCCAAATAGAAAGAAAATTATTCAAAAACATTCTAGGGCAACACAAAGAGCTCCCCAAGCATCGCTTGTTCATGCTTCATGACTAGAATGAAAACAGCCATCTATAAACTTATCTTGCTCAAAATTATCAAAAACTCATCAAAAAAAAATCATATAACACAATTGGAATTTAGCATCTCTGGGTCAATATTTCTATTGATTGTATTTTCTTTCTTTCTTTTGTTTTTAGTGCTTTGTGGGAATGCTAATTTCTGAAATGCCACGTGTTCACCCATTTAAGATGATATCTCTATCACAAGATGCAGTCCTATGGAAATACTAATGAGTGGATGTCAAACTATACCCTGCTGGTGTCTGGTTATTCCCTACTGTGGATGTAAGAGAAAACCACAAATGTGGCCAAGGGCTACTTTGTTTACATGTATTCCCTTTTCACTTTGACTAAGGTAGACTTATTCTAATATAATAGGAAATCCATCTTCAACGATGGCTTATGGTTGAAACTAAGCAGGAGTCCATTCCCTACAGCTGCCCATGTACCCATTTGAATCCCCAAACCAGATCAATAAGAGATGCATCCCTTAATCAGATAAGATTCTGTAGAAAACAAAGAGGGTAAAAAAAAAAAGCTGATCATTAATTATTTTTATTCATAGAGTGCATACTTGAAGTGCAGATAAGATAATCTTCAACAACTCTCTCTCTCTCCACAACTGTGCATGTTCAGCATTGTTAGAGCACAACCCAAGAATGGAGTCATGTGAGGGGAATTCTGAGTGCCTGTAAGAAAACAAAACATGAGTCTTGTGACCTCAGTTTCTTCAGAACACCGAATTGTTCTTGGAATGTGTCTTCGTGCTCCTCCTGGTGGAGTGGATAGGAGTGAGTTGACTTCAGCTGTTGTTATTCATACACCTCTATAGAAAACCATGTTTTTGTTACCCGTGGCTTGCCCTTGTAATTTTACATTTTACTCATATGATTCTTTTTAACCCTCAGAGTATAAATTGTCTGACACTCTGAATAAAGTTGGCTATTGAATGAGGAAGAAAAGAAATCTGACCATTAAATTTCAAAACTAAGAAACCAAGGTGAGCAATAACAAAGCGAATGTGAAATAATAAATAACAGAGACCAGTAACTCATCACCCTAGTTCCAGATGTAAAAATGCACTGAAAATGGAACTCTCTTACCATGCATATGTATTCCTGCATGTGACTTGAGTTAAACAGCTGTGTGCATGTATTCAAGGCTCTGTATTTTGGGGGGATTTGATGCTTTGCAGCCTCCTCCAAGTGACCTTACAGAGGAAGGGGAACCTCATTAGCAAGGACACTCTGAGATGTCTAAATATTCTGGCTGAGGTTAGAGAAAAGGCTTTGGTCCCACTTCCCTGATTACTTTACATAACTGCAAACAAGAGCAGGAGTCAAGACGGCTTGTATCCTCAGCTCTCAATAATAAGGACTTTACAGAATTAATTTGCACCATGGCATGTACTTACTCTGTCTATTCTCCAGAATATTTGCAATAGGAAAAGCAAGAGAAAGGGGTGGCCAGTTTAACAGTGCCACATTGATCAACAATGACAGGTTTTACTAGCGGTGAGGTCAATAGAAAAACCATTAAAAGCTTCTTCTCTGAGAACAAACCTGGCATTGATTTCCAAGCTTTGGCCTGAAAGCTCACAGGACTGTAAAATGAAAGCTGAAAATTTTTCCTTTGGTCTTACCTATGAGTGAATGACAATAACCAGGCATGCTTGCAACTGCTCCCGAGAGTTGGAACACCATGCAATTTTTTTTTTTCAAGCTGTATTAGTTCAAGAGGAAAGGCTGGTTCAACATGCAAGATGTATTTGTGGTGTAGTGTGTGTTTCTACTGTCTTGGATTCCTGCAGTTTAGTGCTATGCTGGTTCCAGGAATAGACGCTCAGAGTAGCTTGGATACAAAAGAAAAAGATATTCTGTGGGACATTTTGAAGCCCCAAATCAACTAGAAGTCTTCCTTTAACCCTAGTGGCAACAGCAAAATGCCCCACTGCAGGGCCAGAGTGGACACTGCCTGCCTTGGTTTGTGCAGTTTGAGTAGCTGTACAAGTTACTCAGACAGTCGCCTCCTACATTATCTCAATTGTTCTTCTACGGCATGATTGGCAGCTCAGGGACAGGATGATGATCTAACTGAGCGTGGTTATTACTGATGGTGGCTACAATACATTTCATAACATTCCAATAAAACCTAATATGATTACTATAAGCTATCATTTGAGATTGCTGAATAGAACTGTAATATAAAATGAAGTGTCTAGTTAATGTATTAGTCAAATTAGGAGTTCTTCGTGTCTGTAGAGATGAAATAAAGAGCTGTATGAAAATGGGGGAAAATGAAAAGGGGAAGTTCAGGCAATTCTTTCAGTCTAAGCAGTAAGTAAGAATGTTCCTCAAATCCCTTAAAGGCATAAGCAGACTTACATTCCGTTTTAAGCTCATGGATTGGGTATAATTGGAAGAGAATTGTCCAAGGTTCACACATGGTCATGTCCCTGATGGAATAAATATATCAGTATGTGAAGTAATAGAAATTTCTAATAGATGTTAGAATCAAATTAAAATGACAACGTCAGATCAATTCATTGAAGTTATTCAACAGAAAAAAATGAATTTAATACTGCAACAACTGCATTATCATTTTGAAAACTGTTCATTCAGTGATCCATGAAGTGCATCGCACATGTCTAACTCAGTGCTGTTTGGACTATACAAGAGGTGATATAGTGGAGGTTCAGCCCTGAAAAAAAAGAGCCTATCACTGTAGACTTTCAAAAAGTCTCCTGGAGGAGGTGAGACCTAAGGCTCTTATTGGGCACAGGTACTATAGATAGTGAAGACAGCAGACAGAATTAGAAACTCCTTAAGAGTATAATGCAGGCAAAAATCAAACCCATAGGAGATATGGGTGGAACATGGAGGAGCCAGGTTGTAATGCGCAGGCTGAGTAAAGCTGACAAAGACAAAGGATGTTATTTACTGAACTTCGCACAGTGGGTCAGAGAGGCTCCGGTGTTAAGCAGTAGGTGAAAGAGAATCCCTGCCATCTTCAGCACAGAGCACTCAGGCCATCTTATGACACCATTCATGTATGACATTCGTCTCCAGACCCTCCCTCCTAAATGGACCTGGCTGCTGTGGCTACACCAACTATGCCCACAGCCACAGTACTTTGTGTCTTAGATGCCCACCGGGTTCCAGGGAAGGCGATAAATTATGAAGGTGAAGCTCACATTCTCCTATCATCAGAGATTAGGCTCAAACCACATTCAAAATTCAAACAGGATGGGTCAGCCTACTGTTGTTAGTGACTTTTCTTCTAGGGACACAATTTCATTCCTATTCTCATCAGCTGAACATCTAACTGCCCACTTTATCACATTGTGACCAACACCAGAAACTATAATTTTACATACTGTCAGCCAATATGATATATGGACAATTTTATGGCCTTTTTAGGAGTAACCTCTTTTTCTTTTCTCATATACTTATCCTCCTGACTGTTCCCTCACTAGTTTGAAATTAATAATGATAATAGTTACTATAGTAGAGTATTTTAAGTAGGTATCTTTTTCCTTTTGTTAATCCTATTGCAAATAAACACAAATGTTTCTGATTTATCAAAGCACACCATCAAGTTTTATCTTTCAAACAGGAACATCTTGGCAGAAAGCAGCTGGAAGTAACACATCTGGATATCTGCCACAGCACACAGACCTCAAGTTCCATGAGAAAGCAAAGCCATGTGCAGGCAGCAATCCCAGGAAGTAGAAAGCTGGCTTAATGTTTTTGTCCATTTCCATATTTAGCTTATGGTCCTTGTTTACTTTGTCCAATGAATATTTAGCCAACATTTCTCCCAAGTGAAATCCTTTCATTGAAGAATTAATCCATTATTAGTTTACCAAACAGGTGATAACATTGTGGAACCATTTTTAATTTCACAATGACTATCATCACCAGCCCTATCGAATTTCATTTGTTAAATTCTGATTACTGGACACCATCAGAGAAACCCCCTTTACAAACAAAAATATCTACTACTTTTATAGTGTAGAGCACTTTTGGAAGTCTCACATACTTCAAGGATGAAAAGTCCTATTCTGGGAGGTAGAGTAAGAAGAATTTCTTGGCAGAAGTCATGTGAGCAGGCACAAGAAAAAAAGAAGGTCATGGGAGTTGGGATTGACAGTTGAATCAGAAGTTGATATTGAATCCATGTCTAGCACAATAGACTGCAAACAAATGTCGTCTGGGTAGTGAAGGCAGCTTTTCCAGGGAGAAATTTGGAACACAAGGACACATTCTGTGGTCTTCGCTAGTTCATGTCACTTCCTTGACACCTTGGGCTCCTACTTATAAAATGGACATAGTAAGTCATCCACTTAACAGTTCAGGTGCCTAGTACTGGAGAGGGAAGGGTGATGACTCAGGTGCTTCAAACCAAGAGGAAGAAAGAGCGTTGCAGAAGTACAAGTTATAATACCGTTAGGACATTCCTGGCTGAGTTTCAAAACCACAGCCAAGCCTCGAAGTTTTCCAATATTCATGAAGTTATAATGAAGTTCAAGAGGCCACAGATTTCATTTGCAAAATGTCAGTCAATGAAAGAGATCTTGCATTCCACTCTTAAATTATTCCTAACGGAAGGCAGATAGAATCTATAAGATTACTCTCTGCCATCTATGATAATCACATTTAACAATGAGAAAGCAAAGAAATGGACAATTTTTTCCTCATTAAACGTTAGCTGAATTCAAAGGGAAAAGGACTCGCAAATGAAGAGAAATTATTTAGATGGGAATTCACGCAAGAATAAGGTCTGCCCTGACATCACCAGGAACATGAAATAGTCCTGAACAAGGAGAAAATGAGATTGTCAAGACAAAAGCCTCAAGTTGATGATGATTTATTAATAAGAAACAATGGATCAAGACACACTAATAACAACCTGTGAAGATGCAGATAATGATGTAGCAGGAGCTTTCCACCCTATGTATCCTTCTAACACACTACACCTACTCCCTTGTACAACTCCATACCTCACCATATAATGAGCTGTTAGGAACTGCATACGGAGAAAGGATTTTGATTCTGCTCTTAGAGTATCTATATTGGCTATTGCAATTATAAGTCAGTTATAAATTCTGCAGCTTTCCCACACATATCAGTGAGGATAAGAGAATCAGCTTTCTAGACACCAGATGACTTAGTTTACCTATTATCTCTATTATATGGCCATACACACATAATAAGCTTTCTTAGATATGGGTCCTTTGTCTTGTAAAATGGGAAAGAATGCTTAAGATAAGGTTCCAACATTGCAGTTTGAATTCTAGGCCTTGAAGTCAGAAGATGTCCACAGACTGGTAAGGAAGACATTTAGTTCCCAACGCTGAGACCCTGCAGGTTAGTGAAGATGACCCAAGAGATCCACCCTTGCTGGTCATTGGTTGTCACCTTCTCTTTCCTCCAACCTTACGATAAAACTGATAATTGGGTTCAGATCTAACTGCTTTCCACCTTTCTGCCACTGTTCGCTTCCTGACAAAAATCCTAATTAGCAGCAAACGGCTGAAGGAAAAATCAGCCTGAAGAAATAGGATGTTTCAATAATCATGTCTGACTTACTTCTCTACTCATCTTGATTTAAGGGAAAATGATACTGAACAAGAAAGAAAGAATTGAAGACTTTACCTGAGCTGGGCGAAGGAAAATATGTTACTATGAGTGAAATGGACAAAATTGCTGCCTACGGAAATTGAGTTACTTCCTGTCCTGGAGGAGACCCCTTGCATATCAGGTCCATCCTTCCACCATATAAAGAAGAGTTAGCCCCCTCTCAGGAACAACACATTCTCTGTGTCAGGAATGGTCACTTCCAGAGACACAGAAGCTTACTTACTGGATGACAACAAACAATTCTGCATCTGCATTTTCCCATGTAACTATCAGAAAATGCAGTCAAATCTACTTGGATACTTTAGGGTTTAATTCTAGTTTTTATTCATATGTATGGGTCTATGAGGTATGCATGTGTGTATAAATGTTAGTATGTGTATGGAGACACATGTGTGTATGTGTTACGTGCACATGCCTGAGAAGGTGACACCATGTGTCTTCCTCAATAGCTCTTCATTTTATTGTTTTGTTTCGTTTTATGCAGAATCTCTCACTGCACCTAAAGCTCACAGATTCTGGCTAGTTTAGCTAGCCAGCTTGCCCCATGGATCCCTAGACAGGTAGCCACCATGCCTTTTAAGGTTTATTTGAGTTATAGGGGTCAGAATTCCAGTCCTCATATTTGTGGCAAGTGTTTTATCCACTGGACTATCTTCTCAACTGTTCAAATCTGTTTTAAATTCCTTCCTTGGCCATTGTCCCAAAATGTAAAGATGAGATCTAATGAAGAAGACTTATTAACTAAGGAATCCCCATATGAGGACTACTTGTGTTAAGACAGAATCCAAAAAGCAAGCACCTATACAAAGCACATTGATTTAGGTTTTACTTAGGTTATTTAGGCTGCCAAGAACAGCCCCTCTAAAGGATTACACTGTAGCCATGTCAGATGAAAGCAGCCACCTACTCCGTTTCTTTGGAATTGGAAAGTGCCTTTTACAGCAGCTCTATGCTCTGGAAATGGATAAGGAGTCATAAATAGCTTTAAAAAATTTTTTTAAAGTAGAGGGGATGTCTCTCAATAGTTGTTAACAAAGAAATCCCTGGAATCTTGATAATTATGTTACACAGGCAAGGGTTTTTCAGGTGTAATTAGAGATAACTCTAAAATCAGGGTTAGAGTAGATAAAACCAGGTTATAGTACATAACCAACTCAAATTGGTTCAAGCTACATACTGCAGGGAGACAACAAAATTGGAAAAACACGTCTGCGTTTAGTCGGAGAAGGTTGGTCAAAGAAAACCTAAGAGATGTGACACACAGGAGGGGGGTGACCCACTGTTATCAGGCTATCATATGAAAAAAAGTGAAAAAAAAAATATGTGGGACAACCCTCTGAACTATTACTGGCTGGCAGGTGGTAACGAAAAGAGAGATGTCGAACTGCAGAGTCTAAGTACAGAATTCAGCCAGCAGCCTGAATGACCTGGGAACAGAGTCCTCCCTAGAGATGAGACGCTAAATAAACTCCAGCTGTCCCATGCTGGGCTGCACCTTGTGACCCGCCAAACCATTACATAACAAAGGGTGTTACTTTGAACTGCTAGCGTTGCTGTCCTGTGCTAAGGCCGCGGTAGGAAACTAACACATCTCTCACTAGCTAATCTGCATGGGGCAAGAATTTTTAGACATCCCCAGAAGGGAGATAAAAGGTTATTCTAAAGACAACTGGACTTCATACTTCATGGAATCTGAACCACTGCAGCGCACTCAGGGCACGTACTTCCCTCTGATAGGTAAGAAATAAAGGGACATCACTGAAATGATAACTAGGGAGTGTGCTGTCTCCATTCCAGCACAGTGATTTGTTCTAATTTCCATGGTATCTCATCATCTACAAAGCCATTTCTTCCCCAACCAGCCGACTGACCTTAATGCCATCCTTCAAGGGCAATTTTTCATCAGACTATGTTTTTTTTCCCCTACAAACTCCAAGTTATAAAAAGAAAGCAAATAGTCCATTGAGGATAACAGCAGAATAACCATGCAGTCTGTATACTTTGGTAGGAGGAAATGTACAGAAATAATTTTTTTAAAAAAAGGAATGCCATTTTATTTATTTATTGTTTGGTTGTTGCTATTTGTTTGTTTCGACAGTCTCCTTATGGAGCTTTGACTTTGAACTCGCTACATAGACTAAGCTAGTCTCAAATTAATAAAGATCCACTTGCCTCTGCTTTCCAAGTCTGGAATTAAAGGAATGTGCTACCCTAATATCCCAGCCCAGGAGATGCCATCTTTAAGCCCACGTTAAAATTAAGGTTTTCTATCACGTTACTGGACCAACAATATTGCTATAACCTAGGACTTTGTGATGCAAACAATAAAATCTACAATATAAACTAGGATAAGTGACAACCAATTTGCTAAGTGATGGAAGTGTAGGAAGATCATCAATTTCTGTTGTCATTGTAGTATTAGTAGAAAACAACTAGTATAAACTCTTTTGAAAGAAACCAGTTATTTGGGGGAACATCCTGTCTTGTCTTTTGAGTTACTGTACTTGCTAAATCAAATGACATTCAACAACACGCATTCAGAACAAATGACAGCCAGTGCACTGGGCATCTTCTGTCTTTTCATCTGGCCCCGAGCCCTGAGGGGAGGCCCGAGGCTTCTCCAGCTGCTTCACATTGACTACTTGGCACACTCCATGTCGTTCGAGAGACTTGCTCCTGCCTGGTTTGGTCATCTGGAGTTATTCACTTTTACACTGACTCCCTACTTAGCACTAACAAAAATCCTCATTCCTAGTATGTTGGGCCAGCTTCTAAGAACTCCAGAGAAATTATCTGTGAGAAATCACGAGTAGATAGGCTTAAGCTTTCCACACTGGTCATGGGAGTGCCTTGCTTCTTTACTCCAGCCTTTGACCACTCTCTCTAATGCACCAGACTCATGGTATCACCATCTCAGCATCCTCATTTCACTGCACTACACTTCCACCAAAAAGGAGGGACATTATGGAGTCCTAACCACTCAGCATCCCAAAGCCCCACAAAACATGTGAGCTCATTCCTCAGAGTCCTGAACTCCACTCTGGAGTTCATAGTGCTATTGAGGTAGGTGTATGATCCATTCAAAGAATTCTAAGTTAAACACTTAGGCCAGAGACTCCAAGCAATGCTCAATGCCACAGTTTTTTTCAATACTTCCAGTTCCTTGTAACACACACATATACACCCATGCATGTCTACACACACACACACACACACACACACACACACAAACACAAACACACAAATACACACATACCCCTGGTCATTTTACCTGGAAATGACAGGATAAAAGCTATAGCATACATTCATAACCTTTAATCCAGTGGTTCTCAACCTTCCTAATGCTGCAACCTTTTAATACGGTTCCTCATATTGTGGTAACCCCCAACTACAAAATTACTTTTGTTACTATATTATAACTGTAATTTTGCTACTGCTATGAATCATAACAAATATCTGTGTTTTCCAATGGTCTTAGGCCACTTCTGTGAAAGGTTTGGTCCTAAAGGTGGGAAGGATACTGTAACTATACAGCCAACCATGAAGCATAAACTATAAGACATGTAGGAACATGTAGCTGATAAGCTGTGAGCAAGGTCTGAAAGGACTCTAATGTGCAATGATAAAATGCTCTGCAACATTGTCACATACTCTTACTTGACTCCAGACACATTGTGAAATGAGCTTGCATGTTTAGGCAAGGAATTAAGAAAATTAAACCTGCAGAGATGAAGAGGAAATTGATTCTCATTTCTATCTGGAGAAGATCACACCAAGAAGCTTTTGTGCTACAAACAAACAAACAAACAAACAAACAGAACAAAAAAGTCAATAAGCATTCAAATTTATGGCAAGGACTAAGGAAACACATTTTTTGTTAAAGTCCAGGAAATAATTAATTTGGCATTCATAAATCTTTGATGTGAAGGAACTGGCTAAGAATAAAATGAACTTGTGACATTCATTAGAAAATAGGCTCAGCCGGGCGGTGGTGGCGCACGCCTTTAATCCCAGCACTCGGGAGGCAGAGGCAGGCGGATCTTTGTGAGTTCGAGGCCAGCCTGGGCTACCAAGTGAGTTCCAGGAAAGGCGCAAAGCTACACAGAGAAACCCTGTCTCGAAAAACCAA